AAAGCAAAATAATCCGTTTTTATTTTCACACATATTCCTTTAGCCATAGACATCACAAAATTTGTCATAAATGATGTTTTTAAAAGGAATAATAGAAAAGGATGTTGAATTTAATAAGAAATAAAAATAAGTTCCTACAATAAGATAATAGTAATTTTTTTAGAGTTGATCAATTTATCAGCATGTCTATCGCCACCATTATATTGCTCCACTTTTGGAATCATTTTTTTTACATTGATTTGCTGTCTTTAGCAGCAGGCATTATGTCTTCTTGTTGCTTTGTATTCCTTACTTTTCTACATGAATTGAGAATATCATCATTTGCTTTTGAAGAGCTTGTAATATATTGTGAATTTGTAACCCCAAGGCTCAATGAGTGCCACCTAGCGGCCACCAGATTAAATACCAACCAAAAAAAAAGGGGGGCTCTAGCCTTCAGTTGATGTATGGGAGTCATGAACTAAGCATGCTGTTTCCCAGAGACGTTGTTCTCCAAGATTTACTTTGTAACTTGAATGTGTAATAATAACGCCCTTAATTGTAATGTTTTATCTTAATTGCATTTTGTTAATTAAAACTATTTAAAAAGGCCAAGTGAGTCTTTTGTTTATGGTAGTTTGGGTTATAGTTGGCTACCCATCGTGCAGCTCGAATGATTTATCTAGTTGAGAAAAAACCATGTTTAGTTTACGACTCCAGGACATAGACTCATATATTCTTTTCCAGTTTTTAGGTACTACTTCCCCCAACAAAGTCCTCACCCTAAGATTATTTTGAAAATTGCATAAAATAGCGGTTTTATCTTCACCCGAAGGTTATTTTGGACATTGCACGGTTTCATCTTCATCCGAAGATAACAGATAAGCATTTAACTTAATAAAAAGAGATTTTTATTTAATAAGCATTTAATAAAAAATTCTAGCTTTAACGTCGTTAATACTTTCATGACATGGAATAAAATGTGTCATTAAAAACGAAACATAATCATATGTAAAGTATATATAAGCTCTAGGTGTTTCCTTTTAGCTATGTTACACTTTAAGAATTTATATTGTCTTACATTGTTTAAACAATTGATTTTTATTTGAATTTCCTGTGTTTTAATTCTATGTTCTAAATGAAGATTAATTTTGTTTTCATTAGAAGTCAACACAAGTAAAATTTCGTTTCGGTTCTAAACGAAAAGTGTTTACGTAACAAAGTAGTATTTTTATTCTGATTGATAAATGTTTCCGGTGTGCATAATTCTTTTAGTATTTTTACGACTGTGTTGCTATCAATGAATGAGTTGTGTGTTTTGTTTTATTTTATTATATGAATAACATTAACGGATATTATTTCCTCTTGGAGAATAGAAAAAAATTTTAAAAAGTGAAAAGGGTTTTATCTAGTATATTATTTAAACTGTGCCACTAATGTTTTGTTTTTATGCAATAAGAATACTTTTGAATTAATATTTTAGTTGCCATTATTCTGAGTAGGCATTCTAAAACTTGCTGCATTTTCCAGTTGTGTGTTTATCAAATTTTTATATTATTATTTTGAAATATTTGAGAACAACTTATATATCTAATGGTGTTTTTCAAACAGAACTACAGTCGAAAATTAATTTCGTAGAGCATTTAGAATTTTGTAGACATCACAGGCACTACTAATAGAAGATTTATCAAAGTTAAATTCTATTTTGGGGATTTTTATGTTTAATAAATTTGTGCATTTCATTGTCCATTAGCAAGTGTACCAATCCTTATAAAATGTTAGTTTCATTTTTGAAGTAATCTCAGATTAATGATTTTGTTCGGTGTTGTTTCTCAAATATTATGTAATTGTGAAGGGTAATTAAGAAATTCCTAAAATTTCTGAACATATAATTTTTCTTCAAACAAATATTTAACTTTTCAATGTATATTGAAACTATGATAACACGAATTTTGGGGACTAAACAGAAAAAAGATCTGCAAGTGTTAGCCACAGTACTGGGCCTGCCCGCCTCAGGTAATTTGAAAGTGGAGCTAATTACGCATGTAGACAAAAAAATTCCATAAGTTTCCAATTTAGTTCTGAAACATCTAATTTAGTGAATCTTCGAAATGACGAAGGTAAACATCTACATACAAAACGGCGTACTCAACTAAATCGCTTATTGCAAAAATTTCAAGAGAACTGCTTCGAACCAGGGGGAGATCCAACCCCATGTAGTGAACTTTTCTAGAATCATCCTGATTCTATATTGTTGAATGAATCATCCCCATTCAGTGAAGTCTGAAGAGAATCTTCCCGATTCTATGCTGTTGATGAATCATTCCGTTTCAATGAAGTTTGAAGAGAATCATCCCGATTCTATGCTATTGATGAATCATCCTGATTCAATGAAGTTTGACTCGATTCAATGAAGTATGGAGGGAATCATCTTGATTCTATGAAGTTCTGAATGAATCATCTTGGTTCAGTGATGTTTGAAGAGTATGAAAAGCACAAAAAATATATTATGGTCATCGACGTCTTACGAACTAGGCGATAGAGTATAGGAGACGAGGGAGACCAAACCAACATATTTTTGGCTCTTCGCCAAGTCATCATATGAGCCAGAGGGGGAGTTTGTAACATCACGACTCAATGAGCGCCACCTAACATCAGCAAAAAAAAAAAAAAAAAAATTACTCTAGCCTTCAGTTGATGTACGGGAGTCATGAACTAAGCATGCCGTTTTCCCGAGATGTTGTTCCCCAAGATTTACTTTGTAACTTGAATGTGTAATTATAACGCCCTTAATTGTAATGTTTTATCTTAATTGTGTTTTGTTAATTAAAACTATTTAAAAAGGCCAAGTGAGTCTTTTGTTTATGGTAGTTTGGGTTATAGTTGGCTACCCAACGCGCAGCTTGAATGATTCATCCATTTGAGAAAAAACCATGTTTAGTTTACGACTCCAGGACATCGACTCGTATATTCTTTTCCAGGTTTTAGGTACTACTTCCCCCAGCAAAGTCCTCACCCTAAGATTATTTTGGAAATTGCATAAAACAGAGGTTTTAGCTAAAGGTTATTTTGGACATTGCATGGTTTCATCTTCACCCGAAGATAACAGATAAGCATTTAACTTAATAAGAAAGAGATTTTTACTTAATAAGCATTTAATAGATAACAGTTTCCCTTCCACACACACAATTATAACACCCTTAATTGTAATGCTTTATCTTGTGTTTGTTAATTAAAACTATTTAAAAAGGCCAAATGAGTCTTTTGCTTATGGTAGTTTTGGTTATAGTTGGCTACCCAATGCGCGGCTCAAATGATTTATCCAGTTGAGGAAAAACCATGTTTAGTTTACAACTCCAGGACATCGACTCATATATACTTTAACTAAATTTACTCAGTACTCCATTCATCGTGAAGCTTTAGTAGCCAAAACAATCCCCAAAAATTAGAAAATCATTTTGAATCAAGCTGTGAAAATCGGAAATTTTATAAAAGCCTAACTTTAAATTTAAAAAAAATTACGATTTTAAACCAAAAGATAGGCAGTGGACATGAAACACTTTTGTTACATTCTGAAGTAAGGTGGTTCACCAGAGGCAAAATTTTAAACTGTCTTTTTAAACTTCAAATTTTCCTGCGATTCAAAATTTGATTTTCCTGTGATTCAAAATTTGAGTTGCAAAAATGTTTATTTTGTTAATTATGGTTAGTGCATTCAGCATATTTAGCTGATATTTTTGGAAAGTTAAATGAATTAAATTTGAGATGACTGTTAATTTGTTTAGCATTAGAGATAAGATAAATGCAATGAGCTAATAATGAATAAAATTGGATAATATTTTAAGCATTTTACCTCTTTCAGAAAGATTTCTATTAAAAAATAATTTTAAAATAAAAGAAGAATTAGCATTCGACATTAAAAATCCTTATTTTTCATTGATAAATTATTTCAACATGTATTTTCCTGAGGATTATGAAAAAGAAAATTGGATTACAAATCCATTTTGTTCAAATGCACCTGAAATTTTATCTCATGAAGAAAAAGAACAAGTCATAAAAATTTCCTGTGATCAAACTCTAACAGAATATTTAAAAAATAACACTGTTGCAAACTTTTCACTGAACCAGAAAAAAGAATTTAAAGACACTTCAAATAAAGTTATTAAATTCTTATTGCCTTTTAGCACAACCTATTTGTGTTAACAAGGATTTTCTTCTATGTTATATTTGAAAAATAAATACAGAAAATTAAAAGTGGATCTTAATTTACTTTTAAAACTGCGTGAAACAAAACCAGACATAAAGAAATCTCTCTTAAATAGGCCCAATTTTAACACTAAATTTTAGAATCAATGTATTAAATTTTGATAATTAAAATGGTAACAAATTTTTAATCTTTTTTAATATGTACATATTTAATACAAATAGCCAATAGGTTGTGCAAATGACAAAATATATATACATATATATTTTAATATTTCTATTGAGAAATACAAAGTTTTGTTTAGATGGTACACGTTAGTCAAAAGGTTGAGAACCGCTGTTGTTAGACTGTGAACCATCATTTTTGATTTAGTTACTTGATTATGTATCATTACGAAACGCATATTAACAGAATATATTTGTTATATTTAATGCTATTATCCTTCCATTTAATTACAATAAAACAGGTTACAACAAGTTTGTCAAATAAAAGCCTATTAATCAGAAAGTCTAATGCATTTTCATTAGTTTTAATAATAAATATAATTAAATCCTTCCATTATTTTCAATAGTAGTAGTGTTAATAGACTATAAATTATTTGTTTAACTATTCTCTTTAAAATACTAGTTTATATTAGTTTCACTATTTATATGTAACAGTTAAATTGTATTTTGTGCAGAGTTTTACAAAAATAAACTCATTTTATAATTATTACATTATTAATAAAATTTAAGAATATTATCAAATTATTAATTAAATTTTAATGTAAGTGACACATTTCCAATATATTTTTACAGAAAAAATATACAAAACTTACAGAACCAGATGAAGTACCAAGTATGTGGCCTTTTGGTGCATTATACATTGGAGTAGAAACAGGTATTTCATCTTGCATTACTTGCCGATCCTCAAGAAGACTATCAAATGCATCTTGTGGTTGAATCTCTGGGTCTGACATACGTTGAGTTTCATCTTTTTCCTCATCTGATTGGACAAAATCACTTTTTAAAACTGGCATATCCAGCCTTATTTTACGCAGACATGTCTAAAAGTATCACAATATACAAATTTCACATAAGATAACAATAACAAATAAATTCCAATTTTACATAAATACATGAATGAATGACATAAGAAAAACTGGTACTTTTAGCACAGCCACCTAGAAATATCACCAACATAGTGTTTTTCTCATTTTGGCTATGGACAATATGCCATCCTTGGCTAAAGAATTAAAATATCAGGAGAAAATATAAATATATTTGAGGGGGTATTTCGTTTAATTTAAAAACCAAAAATGAAATAATAATTTAAATGAGAAACAATAGCACAAACTGATAATATTTAATTTAAATATCTAAAAACAGCATTTATAATGCAAATGAATGGAAACAAAAATTCAAAAATGTTACTTCAATTTGTAGGACTAAAAACTTTCATATTTAGAATTTTTTAAACAAATCATCTGTTTCTCTTTTCTATACAAATTCAGCCATTTAATTTCATGTGATGACATACTGTTCCTTACTGTGCCATTCTTTGTCTGCACTAGAAAACATTCTCAAAGCCCCTTTTCTGTGTGTGTGTGTTTATGTACATCACTTTCTAGATCCATAAAATGACACTTGAGATTTATTTTTATATGTTGAAACCCCTTCTTTTCTAGCTCTGCAGAGCAGTGGCTTTTCTAAGAATTAGAATATATGGTTTTCTTTGATTGCTTCTCAGAGAACACCAACAGATTGATTTGGAAGCTGAAAAGAAAACATTCGTCTGCAGGCAGATCCCAACAAATAGCCACTGTTTGGAGACAATTCTTCTCACATTATTCTTTCACCCATAAACATGCTTTCAGACATTTCTGAGATTGTGCCCGGGCCCTCACCCAAAAAGGTTCCACAAAAGAACTGACAGAGATTTATACTATGGCCCATTCCCAACTGCTTCTCATATTACATATACTCCACTACAAGATCACCTCAAATTTTCATCATCATAATAAAGTGTATTTGAATTCTTGTTAAATAATTAAGTGCTATTAATTAAACATCTTTATAAAAAATAACGGGAAATAGTTGCAGTGTCAAGGATTGCAATTGAAACAATATTTAAGAATTCATCTATTGCATCCAGTTAAGTATTTAAAAGCTAATTTTTGGGCCTAATGAGATTTTCTTTCATTTTTTATCCCACACAGTGTGTTTATAATTAAAGCTCATTAATATTTAAGAATTCATCACTTGTGCCCAGTTAAAGAATTTATATGTAAATTTTTGCTCCTAATGAGATTTTTGTTTCATTTTTTCACCCACATAGCATGGTTATAATTAAAGCTCTTGTTTCAAAATGGTCTGAAATGAGAAGTACAATCCTTGACTTGAAACCATGCATGATATTCATGAAGCAACAGAATTTTGTTTGGTGAAGGAAAATATTGTTCCAAAATTTACAACTAGATAGCCCCCTGATGCGTATTGATAGAGTCAGATGAAAATTACTTACATATGTGGTATGTATATCGCTCACATTTTCAATAAAGAAGAAATGATGGAACATATTGCCCCATTACTTACTTGTGAAAAATCTGAATTGCCCCATCACAATCAGTATCATTAAAAAATCAGTCTCTTCTTGTAAAATTATTACATGAAAACCTTAGTTCCCATCTAAAAATTTGAAAAAAGTAAAGTTTTGAAAAAGCTAAATTTTGGTCCAATGTCGGTAAATTTTTAAAAATTATTTTAAAATTAAGATATTGTCTCTTAGGGCATTAATCTTGGCAGGTGATGGAAACCAGCTCATAGCAAAATAGTGAAAAATGAAATAGCAATGTTACAGGAAGTCTTAATACTCATTGATATACTTCTGCATGTAGCACTGGCAAATACCTTCTAGTTATGGTGTAAAAAGTTTTGAAACACATTCTGAAATATCATATTATGAAGGTCATTATTCTTTCAACCTTTGATGGGCCATAAAAAGTAAAAACCAGACTAAAGAACAAAATGAACTTATCAACTGGTATGACAAATACCTGAATCACGTTTCATGACAATTTTGTCGAAAAGTAACCATGTTTGTACACAACTTTTGGCAATAAATTCATCTTGTTCCTTACTCTTTACTTTTTTCTTACCATTGTTCTTACATTTTGTGTTTTTATTATTATTATTATTATTATTATTTATTATGGTCCATAGAAGGTTTGGGTGGGGGAAATTACCCTCGTGTAAAGTTATTCATATTTGAGGGAGTTGTAACTTCAGATATAAAAGCACAAGAAATGTTTGCATTTCGGTTTTTCTTTGGATCGAAATCTACGATGAATGGCTTAGAAAAATGGACTAATGAAGAACATTTCCATCTTCACAATTTTGTTAAGACACAAACTGCATATTATGAACATGTTAATATATATATATATTACATTAAGTATCTTTTGATTCTCAAAGATCATTACATCATTGTCAGTAGCATTTATTACTGACTTTTTTCTGGCAAACTTGATGACTTTCTTACCTGTTCTCTCAAATGATCATCAATGAATTTCTTTGAAAAACCAGGTTATGTGAACACTGCAACAGAATCGGTATCTCCATACTACTATTTTAGAGATGGAGCTCCAGCACATGTTACAACACCAGCAAATCAAGTAATTTGCAGTAATTTTAAAAATTAAAAAAGTAATCAGCCACCTTTTTCCTCTAACATAGCCAGCCAACCCTTTCAACCAGGCCTGAATTTTGGTTTTCAAGTACAACACCAGCAAAGCAAGTAATTTTAAAAATTAAAAAGTAATCAGCCACCTTCTTCCTCTAACATAGCCAGGCAACATTTTCGACAAGGCCTGATTTTTGGTTTTTAGGACATATAAAGAACACTGTATTTCATAGGCATATTAATTTGATGGAATTGAAAGCTAACATTGTAAATTATACCTACAGTATCTCTACAGAAACATTCAACCCTTGTTGAGCCTGCTATTTGCAAATTTTCAGCTTGTTTTGGAAAGAAAAGGGCAGAATACTAAACAATTCTAAAGTTACATGTTTATATTTATTATTTTTTAATCATTTTCCACCATAACAAAGCACTTATTATTATCTACATTAAGTTCCTTGCATAGTTTTCCCTTCACCAAACAAAATTCCATTACTTCACAAATATTCAGGCAAAATTTCTAGTCATTTAACAAGTGATTCATTTCAGACCATTCTGAAATGTGGTCTTTAATTGAATATCTTGTATTTTATAGGTATGTGCATCATCTTACTGTTTTGTTGTTAAAATTGGAATAACATACTCTACATTAATATTAATGATATTATTAAAGTTAAGGCAATTGTTAAAGGTAATAAAATGACAAACTGGGCTCAACTTTATGAACAACAAATTTTAAAAAACATAATTTTTTTTTTATGCAATTTAAAACAGTGTAGTACTTTGAAGGTACAATAGTTCAGAAAAATGTAATTTAAAATCAAAGTAGTTCAAAGCAGTGTTATTTGTTTACTTTAAATTCCTAAAAACTTTTCAGCTAATAATCCTCATTTAATCAAGAAATCTGAGCAAAGGAATGAAGTTTTGTTTACTCAAAGATTTCAAATATTCTTGCACTATATTTTGTGTCATTGCTTGGCAAAGAACTGACTCAATTTTGCATTTTTGAAGCAATATGGCATACCTATCATAATTAGGTTAGTAATTTTATCGTGGCATGAACTTCTTGATTATTTTCAGAAATTTTAGGGAATTTTCTAAGATTTCATGAATATCACACATTTCTTCAAATGTTGGGTAAATCTGCAAATTTCAGAATCTTTCCTGTTATTCTTTGAATTTGTAGAATTATTTCATATTAGATTATCTTTATATTTAAATAATTTTTATGCAAACTGCATAAAGTTTGTATAAAAATCACTTGCACCCAGTATATTTATATAAAGTATTTATAAGCAAATTTAAATATAAAGTATTTATAAGCAAATTTAAACTACAAATTTTCCTGCTAAAAAATACATTGCAAAAATATCCGATTTCCAAATCCAAACCAAAACTTTTAATTACCATAAGTTTTGCTGGTTTTCTGAAACGTAAGAAACAGTCATTGCCGGAGTTAAGTCCAAAAGGCTCTGAGCAGTTAATAAATAATCTAGCTAAGAAAATTTGAGGATAATAAAAAGGAAATGTCATTTTTCTAATAAGAAAGTATATAAAATAAATAAAGAATTAAAATAAAATATAGAAATTAACAATTTTGTAATTTTTCAAATACATTTTTGTTTATAGGCTCTAACTTTCAGATTGAAGCTTCAAAGTTTCCAATAAAAATGAAATATCTGAAACAAATTCTACCAAAAAAAGAAACATTCTTAATTTAAAATAATTCATAATTGAGATTTCTTATTCTTTCTTCATTAATTCTTTGAGGGAGATTCAAATTTTTTAACGAAAAAGTCTTAAAAGTGAAGTAGTAAAATCATCTGTAATTAAAAAAAAAAAAAAAAAAAACTGAGGATATGCATAAAAATACACGATTGAAAAAAATTTTTAAACGGATATAAAAAAATAAAAAGATAAATGCTTAAAATAACAAAAACTTTTGCATCTTGCAAAACATTTCTAAAATAAATTTATATTAAAAAAAATTTAAGAAAATTCAGAACTTTGAGGAGGATTTTGTAACTTTTTTTCATCAATTCAGCTGTTGAAACTTCCGGAATAACCTAACAATTTAACAAAAACTTGTTTCCTTTTCTCCTTATTCTTTTCTCAATTTTATCTTTTTTATAACATTTAATGAATTCTTTTTCATAAAATTTTTCTTTAATTTCTTCATTGCTTAAATCTTTTAATCTAGAAGTAGGAGGATCAGTGTTTAAAACTTGAGAAACAATAAAAATCTCTTCTGTAAATGTAGGATCACAGCTCCCAGTAAAAGGAAATTTAAATTTGGAAATTCAACCAGTATCATCATTTTTAAATTTAGGTTTCTAAATTTCTACAGATTTATACAAATTCTCGCATGTTGCAGCTTTGTTATCTTTAATAGATGCTTCCATAGGTGTCACTTTTATTGAGTGATGATATGAATTATTATAAATTTTAACTAATTTATCTAATATAGCTAGATATCTTAGTTAAAAACTCTATTTTTGTATTTTCATCATTTTGAGATACACATTTTGTTTTTTACACTTTTTTATATTCATAAATCTTTACATCCCGATTATAATAATAATCTCTGTTACCCAAATCATAAATCTTTTTGATTTATTTAGAAATAAAATATGGCTTACATATTTTTCAACCTTTACCCATCATAAAGAGTATATCTCTCAGATCTTAAAAACAAAAAAAACAAAAAACAAAAAAAAAAAAACACTCTTCCTTGGATTTTTTACTCCTTCTATAATACTTATGATGATTCATTTATGTAGAAGAAAATTTTAAATTGTAATTTTTTTCTAAATATCTCCTTTTTTTTTCATTTTCAGATTCAAATAATAAACTGTATTCCACTTCTTACATGTTTATTAACTCACTCTTTTGATTTGTAATTTTTATGGTAATGAAATTGAATGTTTCTACAGTACTTGTTTTTATACAAAAGAATAACACATGATGTCTTATTATTGATTAAAATCTCATTTCACAATACTTCAGTAAATGTAGATATTATTATTTTCATTTGTCATGTTGCCAATGTATCACCTTCTTGTTCACCTTTTTCACAAATTTTGCCTTCAAATACTAATATTTTGTGCTATTTACTTATAGATAAATCTATTTTATATCCACTCAGTAATTTGATAGTATACTTCTTAGGATATCAAACTGAATGGATGGTTCAAATTTCTCTACTTTTTCTTCCAAGTTGTTAAAGAAATAATCTTCTAAATAATCATTCAACTTAGTAATTGTGTAATTTCCATTTGGAATAATGAAATCGAACCACTGAAATCCATCAACGATTTTAATGATATTATTTACATTATTTTTATTTATATTGTACCAAGAGACATACATGATGAATTCCTTGAGTGCTACTTTTTTAATTTCATGCAAATCAGCAAAATCAACAAGAATTCTTCTGGTTTATCTTTTCAATTTAAAACCAAATACTTCATTTATATAGAATAAATTCTTTGTTGTAATCACTCAGGGTTTGGGTAAAAGAATTTAAAACTTCTAAAGGGGTTGATTTTTATAATTTTGGTTATGTAATATTTCATGCAAAAAAAAAGGGTTAACAAATAAAGGATTTTGAAAAAAATGTCATCATATTCCTTTTATTTTTTTCACCTATGTTTTCAGATATTTTACTATGCTTTCAGGAATGACTTTTTAATTTCATATAATCATCAAAAGAATCAAAATATTCAATAAAAATGCTATTCAGATGGTTATAATAACATACCCAATGGCTTCTAGGTCCTGATACATCTACACTGATAACACCATTTTTCAATTTTTTTCCCTCTTTTGGGCAGTAAATCTGAAGTAAAAACGCCTCTAGAAGCGTTTTCATTTTTAAAATTATCTTTCATCATTTTGTTGAAAATCCCCAGTTTCAATACACTCCTTTCACGGAATTTTTTTTTTAAGCATCCTCCTTGTTGTTCATTTATTACATTTTGTAAAGCTGATATAAATTCAGAATCAAGTATTTTTGAGACAGCTGCAGATCTAAGAAGTTTCTATCCCCTGTGCCTATTATCCTTACAGTTGTAGCTTTTGCAGCCACTATTGAAACAAGAAACAGAATGGGAGAAGACCCTCCCTCTTTGTTTTGATATAGGTGACCTTTGCTCAATGTTATTCAATCTCAACGTTGAACTTTTTTTTATCTACAATTTTGTTAAAAACATATCAAAATTAGATGCCTCATCATTTGTGATTTTAAAAAAAACACCATTTTTATTTTTAAATACTTTTCTCGTATTGTCCTTTGATGAGCTCCTAAGACACAGGCTCATTTTAAAATAATGTCTCATTTTATATGGAAAGAAATTTATTGTAATATTCTTTCCCAAAATCATTATCCACTTCCCCATTTCTTAGCAAGTTGTCAAGCAACATTATTTGATTTTTTTAGAAGTTAATATAATTTGAATAAGTTTTACATGAATTTTTACATTTTTGTGTTTTATCTTGTGACCACAGTAAGGATTAATGAAAGGCCAAAAACTCGCTTTAATACGCAGAGATAATTTTTAAGGGTAAGCAGTTAGTTATAAATAATTAAATTAGGTAGTTAGATAACCTTAGTCATTATGGATTTACATGGCCACTATTAAATTTTATTTATTTTTTAACAATTTTTAAAAAAGTCCTAATTAAATTCACAATCTAATAAGATTTCTCAGTTTAAAATATATGTAATATATGACATTGATTCTTAAACGATATTAGGATAATTACACACTAAAAGCTACAAAACATGGATGTTTTGTAACAACAACACTCAACAAAATATTTATGCATCTTTTTAATTTGAAGCCTTCCCAGACATTTTGGCTATCAAAATGCCTCATCATTTGTGATGAGGCATCTAATCAAAATATTATATTTATTGATTTCCTTTTCTTTAAGCCTCTCCTAACAATCAGAAATTTGTCTGAATAGACAAACCAATGTTCTCGCTAGTTTCTGTGTGCTTTATCTCCTAACTCAGTGGTGGCGAACCTTTTTGGGACGGCATGCCTAAAACCTCTTTGATTAAATCCCCGCCGGAGAGAGGTTTACCATGTTTTGCCAGGCACAGTGAAATTTGAAAGCTGGTTAGATGGTGTGTTTTAGAAAGATAATTGCAAAAACCATCTTTCTGGTAATTATAATTCCTCAATTTCCCTTCAATAAACACTTTCCATTCAGCTTCATCAAGTTTGGCAACAATCTTGTGATTAAGATATAATAATAACACACCGAACAAGTATTAATTTAGAAGTCAAACAACAAAAATCAGCGTTATATTTTCACAGGACTACTTTCAATGGTTTTACCGAACCATCATAATCAGCTGCAAAAGCGCAAAATAGGTTGCTTTTTATTCCCTTTTGCACCTGAAGATTATGATTCGTTAAAACTATTGAAACTAGTCCAGTGAAAATTTGAAAATATAAAGCTGATTTCTGTTGTTTGACTTCTAAATTAACAATCTTGTGGTTGGTGATAAAGGCTAGGCTAAGGCCCTATGCCAGTTGCATTATGCGATAAGTAAATAAGTGAAACTTACATTTGAATTGCATAGTATCACCATTTTATTGTGATTATTAAGGAAGTAATATTTTAGTCGTGTGCTGGCTCATGAGGTTCTGCGTTCCGACTGTGGCACATGTGCCATAGGTTCACCATCACTGTCCTAACTTGTCAATCTCTCCACAACATACCTATAAGGTATACTTGATCTGGTAAAAGTTAAATAGTCCAACCCCTCCCCAGACAGACGTGAAGCAAATTATCACTATGTATGAAAGTAACTACAATGTTCAGACAAAGGTCATTAAGAGATGATAATGTGAAAAAAGCATCAGAACTTATGGTCAAAATTTTCGTCACAGCATTTCTTCTTCCTTTGATACATAGTGATCAGCAATTTTTCTTAAAATTGTATCTGATGGTGATTTTCAAAATTCAGATAAATTAAAAATCAGAAGATTTAGATATTTACTGATAAATGAAATGAAAAACTAGGAGTTTACCACTGAAACTGGAAGAGTTGACAACTTTGATATATCAATCAAATCTAGATATTATTACCTGAACAGGTCTCTTTTTTCCCAGTTTTTCAATCTGGTGGAGACAATCTTCCAGCTTCATGCTTGGGAAAAGTCGATGAGCCCAATGTTCAAGTTTAGCTAGAAGCTTATCAAGATCTTCTTCCTATATTTCAAAATGTTTTATGAAATAAAATAATTTCTGAACACCATATTATTTAAAAAAAAATACTTTGCATCACTTTCTAAAAATGCTACCAATAAAAGACTGTTTATGTGTAATGCTTCCAAGAGATGAAAGTTTAGTATTTCTTTTTTAATTATTCAGAGTTTAATTTTAGACTCCCTCTTTTTCAAGGAGCAGAAACGTTCTCTGCCATTTTGCCAGAAATAAGTAATACAAATGAATTTAAAAAAAAAAAAAGAGAGAGAGAGAGAGAGATGACAATTAGAGCTTTATCTACTGAAACTCTAATAGAAAGAAAAGGATCAAAATTATTAAATAAGGTTTTTGAACCCTTAATTTTAAACACATTAAAAAAAATTAAATATGCAAAATACCAGTCACTAAAGTTGGTAATTAAAGGTGTTGTATGTACTCTAATTATCTAAATTTAATAATTATTAAAAATTTGGTTAATATTTAATTTAGGTAATACATATTCTACATTTACAGAACCAATACCCCTTTCCCAAAATCCTTTAGGCTATCCCTTCTAGATCTGTACGATTTTCTGAAGTCTTCCCCACAGTCATGTGTCTTTAATTATTTCATTTCTCACTTCTCATACTCCATAGCTAGTCTCTTTCCCGATAGTCGATCAAATGAACATCTGTCAGATGCTCCTCCTCAATACAGCAGTGTATTCATAATATGCCAGCTAATCTCAGCAATAGATAGCTTTAATAACTATTTTTCTTAGGGGGTTAGGTCTCAGCCTTCTCCCATTTTTATCAGTTAAACAATGTTAGTCACAAGAAAGTTACAGTTTTGCGCTTCATATTTTCTTACGCAGGACTGGGCTCACAGTCATTCTGTACTTTAATATCACAGGCCTACAAAGAAAAACGTAGATTGAAGGGTGCCCCTTGTATTATTGCAAAGTAGCTGTTTCATTTATCGCCAAATTGCTTCATTTATGGTAAACCTGAGTAACTGAATGTTATGGAAACCCTATTATGACATAATCGGTTGCGTGATTGCGGCATAATTTTAATGATGGGAAAAGATTTGTAAGGGCTTGTGGTGTGTGTTGGTTAGAAAGTACATTGCTTGTTTTGTGGTTTAGACGGTAGAATGGCTGAATGTGGAACTGAAAAAATAGGTCAAGGTGTAATTTGAAGTTTCTGTACGATTTGGAGCAAAAGGGGAAAAGAGCTTTAATTGACTGGTGTATAAATGAAGGTTTACTTAGTAGCCATTATAAGCGTCCTGTTTGTAAGAAGGCAATGCATATGGTCGAACATAAACATCATTCAGATGGCTTTGTTGCAAGAAAGGTTCATGCAAGAAATGCCACCGACAGTCCGGCACTATGAAGGGTATTTTTAACTCTTATTTTTGTGAATTTATGTGGCGACGCCAATATATCGATTCTAGTTCAAATAATATTAGGAAGTTTTTGGATGCTGTTAAGGAATTTTGTGCGACACAGAAATTTCTAAATAAGGTAAGTGGATATTTGCTTTATGTAGTGCTTAGATGTATAAAATGAATGTCCTTTATGTTATTTTATTATTTATGTAAAATGTAGTTTATTGAGATTATGTATTTTTGTTTGGCTCTACTGTAGAATTGGGTGCTCCTTTGATTTTTTAAGTGGAAATAGATTGACGTGTAAAAGGACAAACTCGAGAGAGTGCACAATGCCAAATTTGTGCAATTCTCTGATTTTTTTTAGTGAAAATAGATCAATGGGTACATGGATAAAGTCAAGGAAAAGTGCAATGCCAAGTTTGTGCAATTCTCTGATTTTTTTTAAGTGAAAATAGGTCAATGTGTACATGGATACCGAGTTTGTTCAATTTTTTGACTTGTTTGTTATTTTGTCTTTGTGTAGCGGTGATTTTTGGCGCAAAAATCGCTGCTACAAAACAAATAACAATTCCAAAATAGCATTTCAAAGAATTGCACAAACTCGGTATCCACATACTGCCAAAAATCGCCAAAAGGCACCTGTAAATATTTTTTTACCGTAATTTTTTTTTTCTCCCTGTGCTAGGAGCAAAAAGATTACAGACTAAGAGAAGTCTGTAAAAAATCACTGCCTCTCAAATATACAATTTGTCATTCTTGAAATTAATAGACATATACTGACGTTCAAAACTAAGAGAATTTGCAAATTTGGTTGATTATTTCTAAAAATGACAGACAGATTTTTAATAAAACTTTGTAGGAGCACAAGTTGTTCTAATAGAAAATATATATATATAACATTAGTCAACATGAACAATTCTGCATAAGGCTCATTGGTATAGGAAGATCTAAAAAGGAGACTAACATAAATAAATACAATAGGTGGTTCATATCCTTCATAAAGAAGCCATGACATTCGCAAGCAACTGAGGCATGAGTCATACTTTCCACTGTAATTAAATTATGTAAACTATAGTAGCAGTATATAATAAATTTTACTGTATGTATGTGGGAATTTTATTATTAACTGTATTTGTAGAAATCCATTTAACACATTTAGAAAGGCAACTACAATTAGTCTCCCCTCCCTCTCCTAGAACCCATCAGAATCTGAAAACAGTATTGTTGCAGGAGCAGACTTAAAACTGTTTCATTTCCCAGCATGAAATTATATTATGAGAACTGCATATGCACATTCTCTGTTAGCCTTCTCATTTGATGGTTCATGCAATTTGTTTTAGATCTTCCTTGGCAATGAGCTACACACAGAATTATAGGTAAGTACTGCAATATATAGTATACTTTCATTTTATTACAGCAACCTTTGTCGATACTCAATTTTATTTAAATCTTTCCACTATTTCTGGAAAAAATTGACCAAATACAAAAATTCTCTTAGTTTTGATTACCAGTGTATTAAGAACCAAAGCTTAATTATTCAATAATTTAGGCTTAATTATTCAAGATTCGGAACAAGTGCATAGTTCCAAGGGAAAAAATTATTAACAATTATTAATTAAATTTATTAATTTAAAGTCATGTTTCTATCAAGTTTATATTATGGAATAGCATTCTTTAAAGATATAAACATTTAAATAAATCCTACTTCATGTCCAGGTCCTTTAAATTTTACATCTTTGAAATGTTTCACTACAACAGGTATACCTCGTTCGCCACACAATCTGAAATACAGTTTTATAATTACACATTCAATACATAATTTTAAATTAAAATTTAGAAAAACTTTCATGCATTTAAAATTACTAAAGGACAGAAGATAAAAGGAAAATTCATACAAAAGCATGCATTTAATAATAATAATACATAAAAAATAGCATTGTCAATTGATAGTATATAAAATAGTATTGTCAATCTACGAATTATAAAAAAAAATTTGTAATAAATGCCTTTTACACTAAAACTAAAAATGCAAAATAAATCTTTTATACATACAAATAAAGTATGAAAAGTAAATAAAAGAAATACAAAAATATAAATTGCAAATAAAATATTTCCAAATCATATATAAAATTAGTAGTGAGCAAATCAGTTATCAAAAAATTATTTCGGTCTCATTCTTTGCATCCAAATTGAACACTTAACAGAACCAGTACTTACGTATTAATGCAACCAGGCCAAAATTCGCATAAATCGCCAAATTTGGTGACCCTACTTACGGCAACCCTACGTGTTATACGTAGTTTTGTAAAAAGAAAAATAACACTGGGCGTGTACTACCACAGCAATGGGTTTTCGGCGGAATTTGCCGAGAAAAGAAAGAGACTTTTTTGGTTACTGTACCTAACAAAAGCGCCGTTACCCTCATGGAAAAAATTTGCGAAAATATCAAGGAAGGAAGCATCATTTATTCGGATTGCTGGAAAGGATACAATACAAGTGAGTTCGAAAATGCTGGATTTCTGCATGGAACTGTTAATCACAAATATTACTTTGTGGATCCCAACACAGGTGTTCACACACAACATGTAGAGTACATGTGGGGCTCAGCCAAATGGCACAACAAAAAACAGAGAGGAACAGCCCGTCATCATCTTGACTCATACCTTATCGAATTTATATGGCGCCAAGCTAAAGCTGTTAATGGCGAAGACAGTTTTCAATCAGTGCTAAAAGCAATAGCCAAAAGATTTCCGCCGAAAAAATAATTCTGCAACTTATTCAAACTCGAAATCGGAAGGGTTTAATTTCTATTTTATATTTTAAAACAAAATAATATAAAAAACTGTATTAAAAATTATCTGTAATTAATAAATCTACATTTTCTTTCTATTCATACTTTTTTACTCAAACTTACAAATCGCGCCAACCTGGTTGCGATAATACATAAGTACCACAGAACCTAACTTATCGCACATATTGGTCAAGATAGTCTTCAAGAAAAATTTCAAATATACTACTGCTATACCAAGTACTGCTTATTCAAGTTCAGTACATGTACATGGACAAAGTAAAGGGAGTGCGCAATGCCAGTTTGTGCAATTCCGGGATTTTTTTTTTAAGTGAAAATATGTCGACGTGTACATGGATAAAGTTAAAAGAGTGCGCAATGCCATTTTTTTGCAATTCGGGGATATTTTTTTAAGTGAAAATAGGTCGACGTGTACATGGATAAAGTCAAAGGAGTGCGCAATGCCATTTTTGTGTAATTTGGTTTTTTTTTTTTTTTTTTTTTTTTTTTTTTTTAAGTGAAAATAAGTCGATGTGTACATGGATACTGAGTTTGTGCAATTGTTTGTCTTGTTATTTTGGCTTTGTGAAGCAGCAATTTTTGCGCAACCACTTTTTTAAAAATTTTATTTAGACTTACACTTGTGCCTTACGCTTGTGCATTTGATATTTTTTCATAACAAAACATGTAAAGCGTCCCAATCTTAATTTCACTCTGGCACTGATGAAAACTTGGCAAATTATTATTTATTATTTTTCGCTTTCGTCACCAAATGACTATCAACACACTACAGCTTCAGAAATGACTCATGCAGCTATGTCTGAAGAATTTATTATTATTATTTTAATTTTTAACCTTAGTAACTGAATACCAAAGAACACTGTAATCTTTTATGTTGATATTAAGCTTGGCAATAGTTAGACTTCAGCTAACTCTACTATGAAGTATTAGACATATTGATGAGAATGTTAACAGAAACTTATCTCCTTATACAAAAAAAAAAAAAAAAAAAAAAAAAAAAAAAAAAAAAAAAGATTTTATAATGATGCTCATCAGCCAAAAATGACATTTAGGGCTGTTTGAATTGAGAATTATTGATTTGTTATTCAGTTAAGCCCAGGAATAGTGCCAGAGGTGGTGTGCCCATGCTGGGTGGTAGAAATTAATAAATAAGACAAAATTTTTAGAATTTAGAGAAGCCCTAGCAACAAAATTAAGGAATGACAAAATTGTTAGAATTTAAGAAAAGCACTGAGATGCAAACCTTTTAGAATTTAGGGGGGCGCTTGGCAGCAATATTCCAGATGCACAGAGACTGCACTGGTGGTATGTGTTAGCTCCAAAATGAAGCAACTGAAACAGTTTACATTGAAAAACTATATACTAAACTTTTAATAATTTAAGCTTTCAATATAGCAAACAAATAATTACTCAGCTTTTTTTTTTTTCTAAATTTATTTCCCTTAATGTCATAAATGCTTCACTATTTCATATTTTTAATTTTATTATTTCTGCATGTCATTTTACTAGATTTTTACCTAATCTGATACCCCAAAAAATCCCAAATCCGGATTCTCCGATGTCCCAATCTCGAACTTTGTACTATATTTCATAATAATATTTGTTATTTTTCATTATAATATTTGTCAAAATTTTTCACTTTTAAAAACATGGATTTGCAGCTTACAGTGGCACACATTTGTTTTGAGTCACTTCCATTTTTGAAACTTATTTGCACAGATCATGTACTAAATATTGAAACACAGATATTTTTAATATAATATTTTTTTTCTCTTTTAAGACTTACTTGTTGCAAATCAAATATTTTCAAAACATTCCTTATAATAAAATAATTTATTCAATCAGTAACACGCATAATATTTTGGATGCTTGAATCGTTCATTGAGATGTTTTGACAAGAGATGCTTCTTTTTACATTAAATGAAAACACACCATGAAAGTTATCAGCTGCATATAGAAACTATTACAGTCAAAAGTCGTTAATTGGGACACCCATAATCCGGACCTCAAAGCTACAAACTTTCTGCGCATGCGTTGCGCATAGGCGTTTAAGCATGCACGTAAGACCTTTACGGTGGAATATGCATGTGCGCAAGCGCATAATACGTTTACGCATGCGCGTTTAATGTATAACCGGCGGTATAAGCTAAGCTAAAATTATCTAATTCAGTTAATGTTGCAGATTGCGTTGTTCCTTAATCTTCGAATTGGATCCGGCTTATTATTTTTTGCAGACTGTTAGAGCAATTTTATAAAAGTAAGCTTGAACTTTCGATTATGTCAAATAGAATTTTTAATATATATTTACTAATATGTAAAGGATCTACAAAACAAAAGTATGTTTTGAAATCCGAAATCTGTTTATCAATTTCACGCTGCTCTGCGGCAGGGGGGGGGAGAAACGCCGCGGTGCACAATGAATTGGAAGTTGATCTGCCAGCACTATCCTTATCCTTATCTTCAGATGTTTTTCTTTTATTTGGCTTATTATTTGGCTTCCTTACTAAATGTAGTATTTCATCTCAATGTACTTCGTCTTTGATATGATTTAAATCAAGTTCCTCGTCATTATAATTCGCTTCCGATAGTGAAGAAAGTGACAGAGAGGTTATTGAAAACGAAAACATTTCGATTGACAAATTAGTCGGTATTCTCGACACAGCAATTATAAGACTTGAACAGCGGAACTTTGTAACTAAACAAGAAATTATGTCTGTTTAATAGAATATAAGAGAAAGTATGGTTGATCTTTAGATTATGGTAACTTGGCGATTTTTTGGCGAAAATTTGGCGACCAACTCTCCTACAGCAACCCTCTGTTTAATCCTAGTATCCGGTGCACACGGGATTTGGCTGCTTTTAGCGACTTTATGATGAGCAGTAAAAACGGGACATAAACGATGAGTAGTAAACGGGTCATTCAAAGAATATATATAGTTATATATAGTATATATTATGTATTTGGCTCTAGTGTAGAATTGGGTGCCCCTTTGATTAGCTACAATTTTTTGTAAAATTTTGGCGATGAAATCGTATTTCTGGTTACCATGATAGTGTAACTTTGCTTTAGCATCCTGATTTTTTTTTAAAATAAAAATAGATTGATGTGTACATGGACAAATTTAAACAGTGCGCAATGCCTAGTTTGTGCAATTCTGGGATGTTTTTTAAGTGAAAACAGATCGATGTGTACATGGACACACAGTTTATGCAATTCTTTGACTTTTTATTTTGGTTTGTGTAGCGGCCATCTTGAAATTGTGTCTTCCTGACGCCGATCTTGCCGTCAAAAAAGAATCTCCAAAAAACAAGGGGCACCCAATTGTAAACTTTTACCATGTATTTACACACATTATATAGACATTCTTTGGATCATTTTTGGTGTTGGCGATAATTTTCAAAATCGCGCCAAGGCTGCACCGTATACTAGGATTTTACCCAACCCTCTATTTTTTTTCCCCGCCGCCATTTTGTCTTCACGAAGTAAAGACATGTTTCTTTTCTTTTTATCTACTGAACACTTCTTCCAACAATCTACTAGCCGAATTACACTTATGCTAGAAATTTTATCTAACAAAACTGCTTAATCATGACAAATATTCACTGTAAAATTGGGAAAAAGTGCACAATACCATACTCCTTACGCGTTTTCAAAATAACACATACACATAAACCATGTACAAGTCGACTTATTTTTACTTAAGAAAACATCCCAGAATTACACAAAAATGGCATTGCGCACACTTTTCACTATATCCATGTACACTGCTTTTTTTCTCATAAATTAGAAAAATTTCACGAAAATTCATGACAATTTTCTGAATCTTTAAACCTGATAAAAAGAACATATATGAAATTACCTGATCGCGAAAAAGTATATACCCTTTCCAAATATGAACATTTCCACATATAAAATAAAAAAAATATCCAAAAACTTTTACCTCTAAATCATCTATTACATTATACACGTCACCGAGTTCATACCGCAAGCATTACAAATACTTAGTATCAAATATTTAAATTATTTCCATGCACGTTTATTTCAACTTAAACGTATACCAAATTCCTACAAACATAAAATTCACAAAATAACTATCATTTAATTAAAATATCACTAAACCATGTACACGTCGACTTATTTTTACTTCAAAAAAATATCCCGAAATTGCACAAAAATGGCACTGCGCACACTCTTCACCATATCCATGTACACTCCTTTTTTCTCATAAATTAGAAAAATTTCACGGAAATGCATGACAATTTTCTGAATCTTTAAACCCATTAAAAAGAACATATATGAAATTACCTAATAACGAAAAAGTATATACCCTTTCCAAATATGAACATTTCCACGTATAAAATAAATAAAATATCCAAAAACTTTTACCTCTAAATTATCTATTATATTATAAACGTCACCAACGAATTCATACCGCAAACATTACAAATACTTAGTGTCGAATATTAAAATTATTTCCATGCACGTTTACTTCAACTAAAACGTATACCAAATTCCTACAAACATATAATTCACAAAATAACTATCATTTAATTCAAATATAATTAAATTCAAAACACTACTTAAAATATAAATAAGCACATACATTAAATTAATAAAAATTGGCTTACTATCCTAATTACTTTAAACTAAATCATTGCTAATAACAATTTTCTAATAATACCATATTACTTTATTTACTCCTTACATTTAGAACAATGCATAAAAATAATGTCCTCAAATAATTAAAAATACTAACTTACCTAATCTTCTTCAGAATTTTGATTACGTGTCTGATAAACTTTTCTTATTTATCCGCTAAATAAAAAGCAAGCGTATGTGCGCCTGTTTCAGGATCTTTAAATCATACTTATAGTTCACAGCAAGGTACCAGGTAAAATAAATAACTTAATAAAACATCTTTACTTCTATCTCGCACAACCTTAAAGAAACACTTATTACTACCCCTTTCAATCCCACTAAATACCCATTTCGAATTCACTTTAGTTAGGGCCATGGGATCCAAAAATTAACAAACACTGTTTCACACAACACAGAATAAAGCCAAATACAAAATTTCCAGATTTTTTCCCGATTTCTCCCCTTTTCCGATTAAAGAACCGTAATTCGTCCATTAATATCACATGACATATCCCATGAGCTCTCATTTCCCTCACACAAAATAATGCGTAATCGGAACTGAGTACTGCTCACATTATTACCAAAGTCACAGGTAGTAACCTTTATCGCCTCCAAAATGTCGCCAAACTACCAGTTACCATATTGTAAAGACCAGCCGAAAGTATTGTCACATGAAATGAAGCAACTTAAACAACTTACATTGAAAGAAATGTTTAATAAAGTAAACAAATAAATATTAAGCTTTTTCTTTTTGTAAATTTTGATACACTTTAGATCATAATTGTTCTTTATTTCATAAATTACAGTTTCATATTTTTAATTTTGTAATTTCTGCATGCCATCTTACCAGATTTAAACTGATTATCCATAATCCGGAAAAATCGACAATCCGGAATCGCCGAAGTCCCGACGAGTCTGGATTAACGACTTTTGACTGTACTTTTTTATCAAAATACATTAACATTTAATCTGAATACAGCAAGATGCAATAAACTAAAGATAAGTTTTACTAGAAATATCATAATTTATCATTTAAAGATAATAAACGTATTCAAATTATCCAAAAAATCCTTGGTGTAAAGTATTCAATTATTTTTTATGTTTTAAAATAATGGAAACTGCAAGGAATTGTTGAAAATGCACTTAAGTCTACATCACATTCCAAACTAACACCAAAGAATCGGAGATTTAAGCTATGAAAAATCAAACAAGACCCAAAAATTAGTGCTGTAAAATTCGCAGCAGATTTAGAAGACTGATTTGGAATAAAAGTAAAACCTGAAACTGCCAGAAGAGTCATTAGGACACATGGATACAATCAGGGCCAGTGCCATAGCAAGCACAATTAGTGTTTCCACACTGTACAGCAAAATTGTTAGAATTTAGAAGAGTTGAGCAGCAGAATTTTGGATTTTGTGGTGTTTGCACTGGGCAGCAAAAAAGGACTCGTGCCAGCCCTAGATACAATGGGTGATCAGCAAAGAAAGATATTCTTTGTCGACAAGAAATCAAGTTTCATATGGAGTTTGCACAGTAAGCAAAATTTTATCATATTAGAACATGTTATGTTTGCAGAAAGAGTCAAAATTTTATATAATTTAGATTGATGGATGAATTACTGTACAGCAAAAGCCAAATGAGAAATTGAATATGAAAAATTTACTAAGATAAGGGGAGATAAAGACATAACAGTTTGTCCATAATTCACTGCCTCTGGAATGGAAAGTTTGGTTTCAACAAATCAGTATAAATATCCTTAATGAAAACCTGAAATACAAAATACAGTTAAATTCTAACAGGATAGCCATCTTAAACAGAATGCCGTAAAGGTTCACTTATTGTTACTATACAACTGTCCTGAAGTTATCAAAAACCCTCCATATTCCCTGGATTTAAATCCTATTGAAATGTAGTGAGTTAGTTGGAGAAAGGAATAAGGTACCCAGAGTCAGCATAACCAGTGCAACTGCACCATGCAGCAAAACTTTTAGAATACAGGAAGAAACCAGGTGACAAAATTAAAAAGTTGCAAAGTTTGAACTGGGTAGCAAAAGATCTAGCACCAGCAGTAAAGGAAATATGATATTTTTCCAAAAGCTTTATTAGAAACAATTCTTGCAGAGGAAAGAACAAACTGGAGATTCTTACATGAAGAAAATCAGTTAATCCATAACCCCCCCCCAAAAAAAAAACTGTTGTTTGTTTATAAGTGTCTGAATACTTATGCCAGTTCATTTTCAGTTTTTGAATAAAATTTTTTTTTACTAAAAACATTTTTAATAACTTTTCAAAACATGCAAGTTTTAAAAAGATGACAGACAGTGTACACACAACGTTCCTATTCCGCTATGCACACACACGCCAAAATGCGTGGCAGGTGCATAACAGAAAAGTACATAAATTTTAAACTGTTTCATTAAAAATGCAAAAACTTTAATTCATTTCTTTTTTCATATCTAAATTTAACTCGCGTGTACTGCGTGATTTTAACGAACGCAGGTCTTAATTAACTGCGATTTTGCGTGAACCATTTGTGCATAAAATCATTCAAAATGCATAATCACCTTTCCGCGTTAAATTTCAGTCGAGGGTGCTTCACAATTCGTTTTGGGGCAGGAACGACTTGAGGTTCATTTCTATCTTTATTTTCTGCATTTTGCTCTTCGTTAGCATTCTCATTTTCTTCGAATAGTTCATCTAAACCGTCTACATCTCCGTCCATATTTTCGTCCTTTTTCTGTACGCAAGTAGATCTAGAATTTCCCGCCAATTCATTTCGTTTGCCATATGCGGTTATGATTTAAATATAGCCGGCTGTAATAGTAAAAAAAATATTAATGTATTTAAATTAAACAAACTTCAGGCTAAATAGGAAACGTCATTTTATTATTCAGAAATTTATAATTTCAGTTTTATAAATATCTAATATTCTGCATTTTGAAATGCAATGTTCTTAAGATGAGAAACCATAGTATTTTTAACTGTCACTTTAGCGTAAACTGTTTGAAACGTGGGAACGCAAACATCTACTTAAAAGTATCGAATTCATTATTAAAACGGTAAGCATTTAAATTTACTAATCGTAAAAGGGATGCTTGTCTTTCATAATGTTATATTCGTGATTTAATCAGTATATATGCACGTTTATAAAGTGTTAATGGTTGCGGTGACATTTAAATAGATCTCAATTTCAAGACTGTTATAAAATTAAAGTTGACTAACATAGTAATTTTATTGCTATGAAAATTGATTTTTTGAAGTAATGTATTGAATCTCTCTCACCGGTACTTGTTTCATGTATAAATTCAAAACGTGAAGCTTCCATATGTCAGTTTTAAATATCTGAAATATCGTCCGCATGGTGTTAGTAATTTTAATCAGCGGATTTTTCTTTTTTTTTTTTAATTGATTAAAAGCAGATAGTCTTCCATTTTCTTACATGATGGGAAAAGTGTTAAAATCGAAGTTTTAAAGAGATTTAAACTACTAAATTAAGAAAACGGTTTTTAAAGAAGTAAAATATTTTGAATAAGTTATTGCCGGGCAGTAAAGTAAGTTAACTTCCACGTCCGTCTGTTCTCAAGCATAAATATAGTGAGTGTAGAAAGTTATTCGTACATTAAATGTTAAGATCTAAAAATCCGTCGTTGATAAGAACTATAAATTTCACGATAAGTAATTAACCTTTAACTGCTGTGACAATTTTTTCGGCATAATTACTCTGAACGGTCTCACAGACCGATTTAAAGAAACGCGTAAAAATACATACTTTTATGCCTTTTTAAGGAATGTTATAGATACTTTATGCATATTTATGGGATTCTAATTCATTTAAATCATTTGATTTTACACAGTAAATTCATATAAAAATATGACTATTTTCTTCTTTTTAAGGAACAAAGATTTTATTAAACATACATGAAAATATGTGACTTTATTAAGTATTACTGTCAATTAAACCATAATTCTACAACAGTGACTTTAATTATTAATAAATAATAGATTAGTATAGCTTTGTTTATAAGGATGAATCATAAGATGATATACTGTCAGAATATATTTTTTGAGAGCAAGGAAGACACACTGGTTCCTTGCATTCCAAGCATTTGTATGCTGTTTTTCTCTCCTTGCAAGGTGGGCACAGACTGTTTTTCTTTCTTCTAATTTTTCTTCTTGATTTGATAAATCCATTCTCTTAATTTCCTTCTGTTCAAGGACTCTTCTAATTGTTATCTTCAGTTCCCTTGGCAAAAAAAGCGTAAGTTATCGCAGCTTTCAGATGCGGTTTAATAAATTGATTAGCTAATAAAAGGATAAAACAAATTTCTTTTCAGTTTTATAGCATCAGGATATGACTGGAACAATATATATGAACATAAATTCGAAGTATCTTCAGCGTATTTTTCAGCCTATGCTTTAGACCCTATTTTTGCAGGGTGTTTCATACCAGGGAGCTGAACTATTATGCAGGGCTGTGGAGCCGATACGGAAAATGACCGACTCCTGGAATTTTAATGACTCCTTCATATATATGTAAACATATAAACATGGGTACAGCTTATTTATTAATATAAAAGAAGTAGTAGATCCTACAGATAAAAATTGATGCGTAGCAATTTTTTTATATTAATTACCTTTTCTTATGAAATGGAAAAACTGGCATTAGTAATTTCTAAGAAACAGTAAAACTTTGGCAAGATCTTCTTTTTTTAGAGGACCATAGATCCGATTTGATAAACTTCAGAGCTGATAAGAGTCTTTCCACACTAACTTGAGTACGAGGAAGAACTATTACTGTTTTGGGTTACTTCTTTTAACTTTTCAGGATAGATTTTTACAACTTTTAAAAGAGGTATCTTGCAAGCGCAATCATATTTCTCTATTTCTTCATATTAAGGCTGTGTAGAAATCTTGCGGCTGATCTTTGGAATATGGTAACTGGTAGTTTGGCGACATTTTGGAGGCGATAAAGGTTACTACCTAGGTAATAATGTGAGAAGTACTCAGTTCCGATTACGCATTATTTTGTGTGAGGGAAATGAGAGATCATGAGATATGTTATGTGACATTAATGGACGAATTTAATCGGAAAAGGGGGAAAATCTGGAAATTTTGTATTTAGCTTTATTCTGTGTTGTGTGAAACAGTGTTGTTTAATTTTTGGATCCCATGGCCCTAACTAAAGTGAATTCGAAATGGGTATTTAGTGGGATTGAAAGGGGTAGTAATAAGTGTTTCTTTAAGGTTGTGCGAGATAGAAGTAAAGATGTTTTATTAAGTTATTTATTTTACCTGGTACCTTGCTGTGAACTATAAGTATGATTTTAAAGATCCTGAAACAGGCGCACATACGCTTGCTTTTTATTTAGCGGATAAATAAGAAAAGTTTATCGGACACGTAATCAAAATTCTGAAGAAGATTAGGTAAGTTAGTATTTTTAATTATTTGAGGACATTATTTTTATGCATTGTTCTAAATGTAAGGAGTAAATAAAGTAATATGGTATTATTAGAAAATTGTTATTAGCAATGATTTAGTTTAAAGTAATTAGGATAGTAAGCCAATTTTTATTAATTTAATGTATGTGCTTATTTATATTTTAAGTAGTGTTTTTGAATTTAATTATATTTGAATTAAATGATAGTTATTTTGTGAATTATATGTTTGTAGGAATTTGGTATACGTTTTAGTTGAAGTAAACGTGCATGGAAATAATTTTAATATTCGACACTAAGTATTTGTAATGTTTGCGGTATGAATTCGTTGGTGACGTTTATAATATAATAGATAATTTAGAGGTAAAAGTTTTTGGATATTTTATTTATTTTATACGTGGAAATGTTCATATTTGGAAAGGATATATACTTTTTCGCGATCAGGTAATTTCATATATGTTCTTTTTACCGGATTTAAAGATTCACAAAATTTTCATGCATTTTCGTGAAATTTTTCTAATTTATGAGAAAAAAGCAGTGTACATGGATATAGTGAAGAGTGTGCGCAATGCCATTTTTATGCAATTCTGGGATGTTTTTTTAAGTAAAAATAAGTCGACGTGTACATGGTTTAGTGATATTTTAATTAAATGATAGTTATTTTGTGAATTTTTATGTTTGTAGGAATTTGGTATACATTTCAGTTGAAGTAAACGTGCATGGAAATAATTTAAATATTTGACACTAAGTATTTGTAACCATTTGTAATGTTTGCAGTATGAATTCGTTGGTGACGTTTATAATATAATAGATAATTTAGAGGTAAAAGTTTTTGGATATTTTATTTATTTTATACGTGGAAATGTTCATCCTTGGAAAGGGTATATACTTTTTCGCTATCAGGTAATTTCATATATGTGCTTTTTACCGAGTTTAAAGATTCACAGAATTTTTTTGCATTTTTGTGCAAATTTTTGTAATTTATGAGAAAATAGCAGTGTAGATGGATAAAGTTAAGAGTGTGTGCAATGCCATTTTTGTGCAATTCTGGGATGTTTTTTTAAGTAAAAATAAGTGGACGTGTAAATGGTTTATGTGTATGTGCTAATCTGAAAAACATGCAAGGAGTTTGCTATTGTGCACTTTTCCCCAATTTTGCAGTTAATATTTGTCATGATTAAGCAGTTTTGTTACATAAAATTTCTAGCATAAGTGTAATTCGGCTAGTAGATTGTTGGAAAAAGTGTTCAGTAAATAAAAAGAAAAGAAACATGCCTTTACTTTGTGAAGACAAAATGGCGGCGAAAAAAAAATATAGGTTTGCCGTACGTAGCAGAGTTGATTGCCAAAAAATCGCCAAGTTATCATAATCCAAAGATCAACCAATCTTGCTTGTATTTTTTCATTTTTATATCTAAAAGCTCTTGGTTCTTTATTTTTATTCACTTTGCCTTACCCTTTTCAATATTATCCAAAAATATTTCTCAAAATCTAATTCATCTTTCAAAGAGGATGATAGAGACTCAATTGCAATGTCTACAGATTGACTGTCCGGATTTAAATTCTCCAATTGTTCTGAAAATAATTTCATTCTTAATGAAAGTTCATGCATGGCTTTCTTTGCCTTTTTAATTTGTTTGTCATTCAACAAAATTCAGTGTTTTGGAGCTACATATATTGAACCCATCGTGATCTTATTGTCTAGCAAACTAGTTTCTCTTTTCTTCGTTGAAGAAATGATTCCTTCTGCAATAAACCCTCCATTTCAGAAAGAACAAACATCCCATTCTTCCAGTCTTACGTCTTGTGAATTCTTCAGAATGTTTCTTTTTTGTGGTTACATATGGTGTTGAAAGAAGGATTTCCAGTTCTGCAAGATCATTCCACAGTCTTTCTGTTAGTGAAATATTAGGGTTATTTACATCTTCTGAAAAGTTCTTAATCTAACAACCACTATATCATCAAATATGTACTTCTCCATTGAATTGCTCCTTTTCCTGCTCGCTTCTAAGAATGGCATCAATTGTGGGAGTTCTTGCTGCTTACCTCACTTCACCAATGAGATTAGTAACTAAATGAATCAGTTTAATCAATAATGGCAAATATCATATCCATTCTACTCCCTTAAATTTATTTACTAATGTGTCGATAAAATGGAAAATAACTATTTATTATGTATATAGTCCATAAATAAAAATATTAACTCAGTTTGTCATTAATTTCTTTTTCAATTCACTTTAATTTCATTTCAAATTCAAACTGTCCAATAAAAACTGGAGTCGGAATCAACGTGGTTTTTAGCGACTCCTTTTACCCAAAAATATACCCGACTCCACAGCCCTGCTATTATGTTATGTTTTGGTGTTCGTATCGCCCGACTTAACTCTTTTTTGCTCCATTTGAAGTGCTTTTTTCTATAAAAATTTTGTGCACAGTCATTAGAAAAATTATGATATTCATCTGCAGGAACTTTTGCTTTCGCTGTGAATAACTACATGATTCTTCAGAATCAGACTATTGTACGTCAACAATACTGACAAGATATTCAATTTCGGAACTACTCTGATATGTGCCCTCAAGTCGCCAAATTTCTCAAATATTTTTGGTGAGAAACTCCATGCTG